GGGGGGGTGTTGAGCTGCTGCTCGACTCCGCCCCCAGCCCGGGAGTGACACCCCCACCCCCGTCTCGCCGCTGCCCCTCAGCAGTGGCTTTCAGTGGACCCTGCCTGTTCTGCTCCCCACTCTGTCGACTATGGGGGTTCTCACACCTGTCGCAAGCCTGACCCGCACCCCAGCTCTGTACGCATGAACAAATCATGTTTTACGGAAGGGCGCAGCTTCCCTCCCCGGAGTCCGGGGTCCCGGAGGCGGCGGGGCGCCCCCGTCTCCCCTTCCGCAAGGCCAGGCTCTCCTGGGGTCAACGGCTCAGGAGCAGAGGGCCCCGGCGTCCTCCCCTCGGGCGAGGGGCTGGCCAGTGCCGCCGGGCGGGGGCGGGGCACGTACCAGAGTAGCTGGTGAAGGACTTCAGGTCCTCCAGGCTGATGGGCACTTGCGCACCGGAGATCAACACCTGCAAGGGAAGGCGACATGGGCGCGGGCGGGGCCGGGGGCGGCCCCGGGGGGTGGGGGACCCCGGCGGCCCACCTGCATCTCCTGCTGGTCGAACATGCGCAGCCACTCCAGGCTGACCACGTTGGCCAGGCCCTGGCGGAAGGCCAGGCAGTGCGCGCGGATCTGCCGGTTGAGCCGGTAGTCGGCCACCAGGTGGATGTAGGCGATGCGGTTGGCGCTGGTCACCGGGATGTCCTTCCCGCCCGCCTTCAGCTCCACCACCTGCGCAGGCAGCGCGGGGCTCAGCGCCCGGCCCGGAGACCCCGCGCGGGGGCCGCGGGCCGCACCCCGGCCCGGCCCCGCCTCACCTGCGCCTCGCCCAGGTCGTTGTTCACCACGGTGAAGTTGAGCCCCAGCTCCTCCACGTCGCCCTCGTAGCTCTTGAGGAAGAGCAGGTTCCTGTAGACCTCGGGGTCCAGCGAGGCCAGGTGGTGGATGTCCACGTCGGCGCTGGTGCCCAGCAGCTTGGACAGGAAGAAGCCGGCGAAGGGCAGCTCCACCAGCATGTTCTCGTACAGGGCCTGCGGGCGGCAC